CTTTACATCTCTGCCTTGTAGATTCCTGCGACCCTCCACCAGGGCCTCCCCAAATCCTGCACTTGCTGCTGCGCCTGAACCCCTTATTTCAGTAACTAAATGGGAATGCCGTGCATCTGTTCCATGTTTATTCCGCTGCTCAATGATTTCTCGAAGTGTTTGACAGATTCTCTTTTTTCCCTCCTTAGAGGTGCTCTTTCTTTTAGCATCTGTAAAATTTTGTGTACCAGCCTACAGCTCTTAGTGGAAGCTTCCCCTTTCTTCATGTCTGCTCCTAGTAGCATTATAGTTTTTGTGGCTACACCAGCATTTAAAAAAAAAAAATCTCCATTTTTGGAGTAAGAGGTACTAGTGTATGTTATTTAAGTGTTCGTGTCTTTTAGAGTGGGTAGATGAGTTTAATTTGACAAAGACAGATTTTAGCAGTAATTTTGCTTCAGGATTTCCCTCTAGTACTTCATATTTCTGTCTCTGCAGTGGAATGATTTCATTTCAAGCTCTTCTTATCATATAGAGCTTGAAGGACCCAGATTCCAGTTAGAACTCTAACCAGAGCTAACCTCTATAGACTGATTTAGTCTAAGATAGAACTAGTCCTAAAGGCTAGCAAAAGGAGTTTCTCAAAATCATGTTGTTTTGTTGGGAAATGAGATATTGTGCTTTTCCTGTCTTACTCCTGTACCTAGTCTAATGAAAGTGAGATGTAGTAGCTTCTGACTACAGTTTTGATTTCTTTCTTTTTTGTACCAGCAAGCAAACTCAGGACCTCACACTTGCCAGGCACACACTGTGCCACTGAACTCAATCCCCAGCCCCTACAGTTCTGATTTCTAAGCAGCTCATAAGTCATTTTAAATTCAGAAGTAGGTGTTCCATCCCTTGGTGTCTCACATTCTAGTTTTATCAGCTCAGTTGCATTCCAGGTGCTCAGAGACTGTGTCCTAACGCACTGTCTCCAAAATCCAGCTTTTTGATGGGCATGGATCAGTGGGTGAGAAAAGGGGACCAACAGTAATGTTAGATCTTCTTAGCTGTGGGCTGGTTAATGATGGAGCAATTTCCTTAGTGATCTGAATCTTTGATTTTTAAATGCATTAGAGTTGTTATTCTTTCTTGTTGATACCCCAGTGGGATGGTACAAATAGTGCGGGGAGGAGGCAGCCAAGGTACTGGACGGTCCTCTGTGGCCACATAGACTTTCAGGGACTCACAGGGGGCCCAAAGAAGGTTTTCTGAAGTAATCTGGTTTAGGGATGATTAAAATTGTTGGTGGAAGAGCAGCTTGGATGGAATTTGAACTATAAGTAAGTCGGGTAAATAGAAGGAACAATTAGGAACTAAGATTCGCTGCTACAAAGTCCATTTGGGACCCAAGAAAGTACTTACCTGATAGAAAATTTTGTGGTGAGAAAGCAGTATCACCCACACCTGCCTTAATAGGAGAGTGGGAGAGGCGGAAGGGAGCTGGGCAAATTCAAGAAGGCTGTGGTGCTCTCCTTCACATTGTACCCTAAGCTTCCTTGCGGTTACTTTATTAGCATTTTAAAGCATGCATTGTACGACATTAAATCAGTGTCCCTGATTTACTGAACCATCTTGATATTTCTTAATGACTAGTTCTTGGAAAATATGAGATAATTAATTCAAACTCAAGTCAAGGTCTTGTCAGCATTGTACCAACCAGATTAGCTCATGTAGTTGTGAACTCAGAGTTCGTTTCTGTGACATTGCTTCTGAAAGAGTGTGCCTTGAACCAAAGGCCATCTAAACGTTCATAATACTAAAATTTTGGGTATCGTTTATTTAAATTCAGTATCCAAGCTGTAGCCTAAGACAAAGCGATTGAAATATGGTATATGTTAACCTTGTGGAAAACCTTGAACTGCTAGTGATTATATTAGGCTTTTTCATCTTTATAGATCCTAAAACAGTTCCTTGTAGCCCTAATTAAAATTGTGATTAAAAATGATATCAAAACAGGATATAGGACTTGTCAGGTATACAAATTAAATACACTGGTAATCTTGACTAGTTTTTTGTTATTTTACAATTTTATGGAGGAATGTGTTGATACACAAAACTTGATTTTTTTTTTTTTTACTAAATTTACTTTGCTAAAGTAGTATTTTTTTTTTTTTACTGAATTTACTTTAGTTTACTAAACACCTGGTTAGCCCTAGTAAGTATACATTACAAAGATCACAGTTTGTTTTCTGGAAGTATTGGTAATTAAACTCATAGAAACAATGCTAAGTAAATGCTTTTCTGTTTTCACATTGCTTAGGTTATCTAACTATGGCTCCATCTGTTGTTTAATGGAAAGAGAGACTCAGACAGACAGACAGAGCCATTTTTGTGAATTAATCAACTCTTAGCATGGCCTCTTAGGTAAGATCAGCAGAGAGTATTCCCATTGTGCAGATGAGGCAATTGCATGTCTTTGACAGCAGTTAAGTGGTTTGCCTAACCTTATTATGGCTACTAAAGGTGGGCCCTGGCAGGCACTTAGAACTTACGGCTTTAGGTGAGCAGTTTTTTTTTTTTGGTTTTCTCCGGGGAACCGAACTCACGACCTTGCGCTTGCTAGGCAGGTGCTTTGCCGCTGAGCTAAATCCCCAGCCCCTAGGTGAGCAGTTTTAACTGTGTACTGCTGCCTAAGACTGTCTCCTCCCAGGACCCGTCCGCTGTGATGAACTGATTCCTAATGAAGCCCCATGTGGTTGCCAGCCCGGTGCCCTATAAGGAGAAAGAAAGGGAGGGGAGAGAACTTGAGGAGAGCTCCTGTCCTGCCTTCCTTGGGGAGTACTCACAGCGTTTGTGCCTTTTGGGAAAACGAACCTCTGAGAGCTGCGAGAAGGTAGATTGTGTGAAGGAGACCGAAGTAATCAGGTTGACTGCACTTTTGCTGTGCATTAGTTCCACATAATTTTGGGGCCAAATTAGCATATGTTTGACAGTTCAGAGGGGGGCAATAAAATAATGAAAATCGCATATTGGACATATTTACTGGCTTAAAAATGTATTAGCGGCTTATGAAATAGTTTGTATTCAAACCATCCTCAAAAGATAATTTATATGCTTATAAATTTAAAAATTTAGGTGAATTGGTAACTATTTTAACACATGCCGAATAATTATTCTTGGTGTATATTGACAGACTTGAATCAATTTCTTTAACTGTATCTTCCTTTAATACTTCAATACTGATAGTTTCTGCGAAGTTATTAATAAGCTCTTAGGCTTAATTTCAAAATTAAATTCCCTGCAATTTTTTTACAAGTTGCAACTTGACTTTTTTCTTAAACAATAGAAACAGTTTTAAAAATACTTTCTCTGCAGAAACTAAAGCACTTGGTAAACTTGGGGTGGGTAAACTGCCAAATAGAACTTCTTGATTTTAGACTTTCACGTTGAATGTCAAGGGATTTCAGCTACGTATTCACCAGTGCTATCTTTCCGTCCTTCCCGTGTGCCCTGCTTTACAAATACTTAAGATAAAAACCATTAAGTTGTTCCCTTTATGATTTTTAAAATATGCTGCCACATGTAGACATAGTAAAATTGTGTTTCCTCAACTTTATTCCACGATGTTATAAAATACAAATGTATTCGATTGAGATTCTTCCAGTCATTGGGACATTTAACGTGGAGATGATGGCAGACTTTTCTTTCCGTTGTTTGTTTCACTTTCCATGGTTTCAGTTACCTGAAAATTTTCTACGTGGAAAACTCCAGAGATAAGCAATCCATAAGTTTTAAATTTTGTGCTGTGCTGAGATGCATGATAAAATCGTGGGCTATCCTGCTTCATCCCACTCAGGACGGGAACCACCCTCTGTCTAGGGTGTTCAAGCTGTCTCTGCAGCCCCCCTGCCAGTCACTTAGCAGCTGTTTCACTTATAAGGTCCACTGAGGTATTGCAGTGCTTACGTTCAACTAATATTTAGGGTTCTGTAATTTTTGTGATTTCAGGATACACGAGGGATCTTACAACATATCCCTCACAGGTAAGGTGCAACTGCAAACATGGCTGTAATCAAAGCACCACAAATGAGGTGGCTTAGCACAGTAGAAATCTGTCTTCACCCATCTGGAAGCGAGAAGTTTGAAATGAAGTTGTCTGCAGGGCCACGCCCTCCTGTAGCTTCTCCTCGTGGCCAGTAATCCTTGGCAGCTGTATTTATTCTGCCTTTGTCCTTGTATCACGTGGCTGTGTTTTTACATTGTGTTCTGTGTCTGTCTTTCCTCTTCATGAAAGGGCCACAAGCCTACTAGAATAAGACCCTACTCTCCCGCAGGATGATATTAGCTTGCGTCCTAATTACGTATGCAAAGACCGTATTTCCCAATAAGATCACAGGCACTAAAAGGTAGGAGTGAGCATGTCTTTTTGGATCGAAATATCAGGCTTTCAAAACTGTTTGTATGTTGTTTGAGCTATTACTCAATTTGATCATTTCTTCCCCTTTTTTGAAGGTGTAAGTTTCTGTGTGTAAGCTTTGTTTTAATTGATGACAATTCACTAAAAGCTTCAAGTCTGAAGGTACCTTTCTCTCTTTTCGGTTTATTTGTTAAATATGTTGACCAGCAATTTTTTGTAGATTTTAAACAAAATGCAACAACTGTAGGCCTTCTAGACAGATTTACAAAATGATTTTTCAAATTCTTATCATTTCTAAAACCTAGTATAGGCAAAAGAGGGAGTGTGTTCTGCTATATTTTAAAATGTAGTTTCAGTTGTGTGTATAATATTTAATTTTGTTATGGATTTATACTTCAGTTGATAGATGATTATAGCTTGTTTGTACACAGTGATAGATAGTATGTTCCATGAACCGTTTCTATAAACACTGGATAAGTTCCTCCTTTTAGTTTTTTTTTCTTTTTGTCTTTTGGGACAGGTTCTCACTATGTAGTTTAGGCTGACCTTGAACTCACTCTGTAGCCCAGGCTGGCCTGGAATTAGAACTCATGGCCATCCTCCTGCCTCAGCCTCCCTAATGCTGGAATTACAGGTCTGCACCACCATGCCTAGCTAGGTATCTTCTTTTTAAATGTTAATAACTAGTGATTCAAATGTTCATTCACAACATCACAAATAATCAAGGGAACACTCTACCACCTACAGAACAACTTATTATTGGTAACTGACCCTAAAGTGATGGAGATCTACAAACTGCCTAACAAAGAATTCTAAATAGCCATCTTAAAGGAGCTCAGTGAGCTACAAGAGAACATGCATAGACAACTAAATGAAATCAGGAAAACAATACCAAAATAAAATTAGAAGTCAAGAGTAAGGTGGAAACCATTAAAAAAAAAAAAAAGAACTTTTTCTGGAGGTACTGACATACTGACTGAAACAAAAAGTTCTGGAGAAATCTTACAGCAGACATCTATAAATCCATGCGATTTATAGATCACCAGCAAGGGAAACCACGTGCAGATTTTGGTTGTCTTGAAGGACAACCAGAAGAGAAAAGACAAAGTGAGGAATGAAGAAGGAGGCAGTACAATGGATAGCACAGAAATATAAAGGATGCTGAGAGACTCCATGGACACTTACGCACTGAAAAATTGGATATCCTAGAAAAAATGGATACATTCCCAGAAATACACAACCTACCAAGCTGGAATCATGAAGAAATACAGAATATGAACAGATTAAGATTGAGTAAGGGGATCGAATCAGTAATCAAAATCCTTGCAACAAAGGAAGTCTGGAATCTGATGGCTTCGTTGGTGAACACTGTCATACCTTGAAGAAGTACTACTGACCCTTTAAAAACTCTTCCAGAAAACTAGAAGAAGGAGCAACATTTCCAGTGCTGTGAGGTCAAGACCACTGTGAGGTAGGAAAACTGCAAGCCCGTGCCCTGATGAGCATAGACGCAGAAGTCTTCAGCAAAGCAGTGAAAGACACTCAACAGCTCATTAAAGGGATGATATCCTGTAGTGAAGTGGGTAGAACTCTTAGATGCAAAATAGTTCCACTTATGCATATCAGTAAATGTGATACTCCACATTCACAGAATGAAGGATAAAAATCACGGTCATTGGTGAGCGCCATGTTCTTTAGCACTGAATCTAAGGAAGGTCACATAGAAGCATGCAAGCTTTAGGGAATTTGGGGTTTAGTGAAAAGTCCTTTCTGCTAGTTTGTGAGGTTTAAAAAAATTGGCATTGTCTTTGCTATTTTTCTCATACCTTACATCCAGTCTCAGCGAATGTCATTGGGTGAATGTCTCAAAACAGGTCCAGAAGGAGCCCAAGTAAGCCGTCAGCAACCTTGCCTGGTTACCACCTGGGCCTTGCAGCTGGCTTCTCCTTCTCTTGCTGCCATGAAATCCGCCCTCCATATTTTCACCAGATGCAATTTTTAAAGTGAAACTAGGGACATGTCACTCTTCAGAAACTCCAAAGGCTGCCTGTGTCAGTCACAGTAAAGCCACCTTCCTTTCCAAGGCCTGCAGTGTCTCGTCTGATCTGAGGTTCACATCACATCACACATAATCAGGGAAACACACCACCGCCTAAGGAACAACTTGGGGACCATCGGTAACCCTGAAATGATAGAGAGCTGCAAATGGCCTAACAAAGAGTTCTAAATAGCTATCTTACTCTACTTCCTGCCTTCTGTCCACTTTTTCTTACCATTGCAGTAACTCTGGCCTTGAATTTACTGTTAGAAATGAAGGAAGAAAGAAAAAATGACGAAGAGTAGAGAGAGCCTATAGGACAGACAGAACATTGACAATGGAACTGATACACAATTATGGGGTCTCAGATGGAGCACTAAGAGAAGAGAAAAGACTCCAGCAGGCCAACCACATCCTGTCCAGAGGCCTCATGCCTGCTATGCACTTTCCCTTGGCCCGCAATTCTTTCCCCTGAGTACCCACACTGTATATTACCTAATTTCCTTTAGTTTTACTGCAGTGCAACCTGACTTACCCGAGAAACAATACCTTCATCTAGTGATACAAAGTAATTCTGTCCCTCAGATAGGTCCTTTCCGCTCATTATGTCACACAAGGCTGGATTAAATGTTTATTTTTTAAAGTGGATTGTTTATCTCTTCAACCACAGTGTAGTTTCCATGAAAGGGAGTATTGGTTGGGTGCACTATTATTTATACTCCCAGCGTTTAGCGCCTCATGTGTAGAAGGCTTTCAATATGGATTAAATGAACAATGAGAAAATTTAGGAAGTTTTAACTAGGAAATTGACAGTTAAATTTGGAAAAATCACTCTGGCTGCAGTGCTGAAAGTGGATTTAAGAGGATCAGGGGTTGGCTTGGGAGTTCTCTGGGTGCTTTATTCTCCAGTGGCTGAACATGTGAATTGTTGCCGATACTGTTGCTGTTCAGGCTTTCAATGACATGTATGTTGAAAAATCTCATTTGTTTGCACACTGGACTCTAAGCCAGATAATGTGTGTTTGCTGATTCTTCCAGCACGTGGACCAATGCCAGCATTTTCTCTTTGGGCCTCCCTAATTCTGGGTTGTTTCCTGCAGTTACTTATTGTGTTTTCACAAAGGTAGATTTGCTGGGGCTCGGGTGACTGAGAGTGTCTGTGGTAAGGGCCAGTTACAACTGAAAATGCTCAGAGTTTCTGATTCTTAATTTACCCATAGCCACCAGCTAGGCTGTATCACACCACCTATAATTATGAAGATAGCATAGCACCTCAGTGCTATAGTACAAAGCAAGCCTGCCAGGGTCTCAGACCCCAACCTGCAGGGTGCCAGCAAATTGAGTCCCTATAGACAGTTGTCTCTTTGGAAGACAGGAATCAGTTCATGCCACTACTACCTCTAATATTTTGAAGATCATACATATTTGTATGGTCTAGGCTCCAATTAGCCTGTGTTGTATTCAGAGATTGCCAACTTTACACTAGTGTGTGTAATAAATAATGGTAACTTTAACAGTAGCATTGCTATTTATATGCTGTAAAATGCAAGACAGAGGTCAGGTGGCTTTGAATTTTAAAATATAATTATGTTCTTTACTGCAAGAGTAAATTCGAGTTTGTTAGAGGTTTGATAAAAATATGACAAATGTATAAATGAAAAAGTTATTGCAATAAAAGATATATCGCCATTAGTCCTTAGAATGCTCAAAATCCTCTTTCTTCCTTCAAACACATTTACACCATAATTTTTGGCAATATGTCTTTTACTGTAGTAAGTTTTTAAAATTTTAAGCATCATACTTTTTGATCACCCTTGTATTAATAGTGTTTTATCTTAACTGAATATTGCTGATGTAAATTAACTTATAGAAAGTGTTTACTTCTTACTACCTCTTAGAAATCAGCTGTGCTGGAATTAGTTCCCTATCTGCTCTCATCTCAGGAGTGGAATGTGGTTTTAACATTTGAAAACCAATCAATGTAATTCGCCATATTGATAAACTAACACCAAAAATAATTTGATAATATCATATCAATCTGGGATAGTACTAAGTTATAGAACTAAGTGTATAATTTGAACGCATAAAAATTCTAGAAGAAAACATTAGAGAAGACTTTTGAGAGCTTGAGTTAGGCAAAAATTTCTAATATTCAGCATCCAAAGCATGACCCATAGAAGGAAAAAGTGATAAATTGGAATATATCAAAATTAACCAGTAGTCTTCTTGAGACACAAGCAAGAGATTAGAAAGGAAAACTCAGACAAGTAGAAAACAATTCAAGTCATATATATGTTAACCTATGGTATATAAGGAACTCTTAAAAATAAACAACCTGTGCAACAGTGGGCAAAAGTTTAAATTATGCAATTAACTGAAGAAGAAGAAGAAGAAGAAGGAAAAGGAGAGGGTATATGGAAAATAAGCATGTGAAAGAGCTCAGCATTATTATTCATTAAAGGAATATAAATTAAAAGCATAAGCCACTACTGTACATCCACTAGGATGTCTAAAATTTAGAAGACTGGCCATACCAAGGGATGGATATTACGTGCAGCAACTGAAATTCTTATTACTACTTGTAGGAGTGTAAAATGGTACAACCACTTCAGAAAACAGTTTGAAAGTTTCTTCTAGATAAGCATACACCAAATGACCCAGGCATTCTAACCCTAGGGATTCTTGTAAGAAAAATGAAGCATTTGTACATACAGTAACTTGCACATGAATGTTATAACAACTTTATTTGTCATGACTCAAAACCAGAAACAATCCACATAGTTTTGTACAGATGAGTTGGCCAACAGATATTGGTATACCCACATAATAAAGTACTGCTCAGCAGTTTTTTTTAAAAAAATGAACTGTTGATACATGAAATAATATGAATGAAGCTTAAAATAATTATACTGACAGACAATAGCTGTATAAAAGAGAATATGTATTATATGATTCCATTTTAATGAAATTCTTGATAGTATAAATATGTATTGGCAGGAACTAAATAAATAGTTGTCTGCGGGTGAAAGGCAAGTCTTGAAGTGACAGGTTGCATGGAGATTGCAGAGGGACCCCTGGGAACTTTGTGGGGTGAAAGATATGCTCATTTTACTGATGGATTCCTGGCTATACAAATATATTAAAACTCACCAAGTCATACATTTTTACTATATGCAGTTCATTATATTTCAGTTAATGTGTAAAAAATCCACAATATTTATTAAAAGTAGGACAGTGGAGCAAAATTGATAGGATGAATGTACACTGATCTTCTATGTCCTGAAATCTATTAACTTTTTTAATGAAGAGCAGGCAAAGTTAAAATCAGAAGTGGAGCTTATCTAGAGTCCACCTATAATTGTTTTGTTTAACCATTTTTTTGCGCAGTTAATTGTCTACCCATAAGTTATGATTGTTAAGATGCTGCTTTGTGTTAAATTGCAGACATAGTTTTCAGACATGGTCTTGTACAAGAATCATCCATGGAAATTGTTAGATTTCCAGGATTTACCCCTAGGGATTCTGAATTACAGGTGCAGTTCTGTATAAGTTCAGCAAGCTTCCCTTATGATTTTGACATGTGTAGCCAGAGACCTCTCTCAGGGCTCACTTTTTAACAAAATACTTCATGTCAACATTATATGAATGAAGATAAATGCTATGGACTACTGGTACCAGGCTGAAACTGAATAACCTTGCCTTAGTTCTCTGTGTGTATACACATCCATTAGAGAGGGCGGTTTACTTACTTGGAAAGGGCAGCAAGTTTGTATGTGCATGTTGGCTGATATTCATTGGGCATACTCTTATTAGAAAATAAATGTGCACATACTAAAAGGAATTAAGGTTCTCCTTTTCGTCTTCTGTCTCTTTTTCTCTTCTTCACAATGGGTACTGACCTAGATCTGGTGTTTTTTCTGTCATGTGCTGTGGATCATGCTTTGACCAACCCTTTCAATAGTGAATAGGCAGACATAGAAGGGAGGAGCGACTTCCTACTTTATTACATACTTTTAACCCATAAGCATATGGGGAGAGCAAGGCAGTTCACCCCAACCCAGTTCAGCTGAACATTAAATACAGTTTGACACCATGGAGAGTAGGAACACCTTCTACAGTATATTAATTTGTGCCTTTCTAGCAATGGTTTAGGTCACATAGCAAGTACTTATAAATTGCCAGGAGGTAGCGCTGTTCACAAAGTTTTTCAGTTAGAAGTGATGTCACAGTACAGGAAACAGTTGAGCCATCTGCTTACAGACCTGGTCTCTACCGACAGCAGCAACAGCAGCAGCAGCAGCAGCATCAAGCACAGTGAAACTGACAGCTGTTGTCTGGGGCTGGTCTGGAACTGTGGCTGCAGGCTCCTCTGGAGGATGTGCTAACCCAGAGCTAAGCCCGGGTCTTAGGCTAAGGCTAAGATTCTGAACCTGGACAACTACATAGATCCAACATGGAGCAGTTTTGAGAGGTGGTGCCAGCCAGTGTTCCCCAGGCTGTGCTGACTTACTTTACATAAAACAGCAGTTTTCATACAGCCAATACTGTAATACATATCTTGAGTGGACAGTTTGACAGTTGCATTGAATGAAAATTGTGAAAGAACATATGCTGTAGATTACAGTACACCATCAGCTCTCTGGCTTAAGAATAGCAGGCATTTGCTTCTCACGCCAGTAGAGGGCGTATCTTTGGAGGGCCTGTTTGTTGATTCCCATAGGGCCACCTTCTTGCTGTGCTTTCACATGGAGAGGATGCAGGAGTCTCTGGAGTCTCTGGAGTCTCTGATGAGGTTACCAGTCTTATCCCTGGGGACTCCCCTCATGACCCAAGCTTCTCCTAAGGCCCCACCTTCTGATTCTGTAACATCAGCATCTAAGCTCTCAACATATAAACTGGGGGTGGGCCATAAGCATTCAATCTGTAGAAGGCAGATTATAAAGTGGAATTAAAAAGCAGAATTAGAACCTTTCAAACAGTTTTTAAGAGCCTGAAGAATGAGTGTCCAATGCAATTGGAAAACAGCAAATACTGGATTCTTGTGGTTCTTTTGTCCGTTTTTGTACCTTGATGTGGTTGAACACCGTTACTGTCTTTCGAGTATTATACTTTTGCTTTGCATTCCACAGACATGAAGCCACCGTCATCTCGGGTACTGAAATGGCCAAACAGATCCAGAAGGAAGTTCAGCAAGGTGTGGAGGCCTGGCTCGCTCTGGGACACGAGAGGCCTCACCTGAGCATTGTTTTAGTGGGGGACAACCCAGCAAGCCACACCTATGTGAGGAACAAGATCCGAGCTGCCTCCGCCGTAGGTGAGCATTTTTTAGTTGTAGTTGTTCTAAATGTTTTCAATTTTTACTTGGAAGTGTGATAATTATGAATGATTATTATCAGATAAGTGCCATTTGAATAACATGTATTATTATTATTATTAAAGATTATTCATTTAACAAAGTTCAGATTAATTTCTTACTAGTTTCTTCGATTTTTTTATACCGTATAACCAGCTCAGTGTGATTTCATATTTTATGGGAGATGTGTGGGAATACCTCCCATTTAAAGGGCCTCTATTTGTTACATTTGCTATCACCAAAGAGTAAATCTCACTAGTTTACTCTGTCCAAATTGGCCTAATAGTATCTGTGGTAGCAGTGTTTCTACTGTCTTCTAATCTCCTAATAGTAGGTTAGGTTGTTGGAGTTAGAGCATGTTGGCATGTCAGCTAGCAGGCAAAGAATGCATGCAAGTTATGAGAAAACACCTGAGCTGTCTGAGAAATCTTTCCTCGTAGTGCACGGAGCCTTGTCTTTTTTTGGTTTTTTGTTTTGTTTTGTTTTGTTTTGTTTGTTTTTCTCCGGTAGCGGGAACCGAACTCACGACCTTGCGCTTGCCAGGCAGGCGCTTTGCTGCTGAGCTAAATCCCCAGCCCCGAGCTTTGTCTTTATAGAGGGCTTTCCTTCCAGCAGACAGGAGTGCAGGCAGTCAGCCGCACACTGGTGCATATTACACAATGGTGTGTATTACACAATAGTGTAATACACCATTCACGAGAAGCTACATCTTGGTTAATCCAGTGACTTTTTCTGCTTTTTTTTTTTTTTCTTCAGGTATCTGTAGTGAGCTTATTCTAAAACCTAAGGAAGTTTCTCAGGAAGAACTTTTGGATATAACTGATCAGTTGAACATGGATCCCAAAGTCAGTGGCATATTAGTCCAGCTACCACTTCCAGGTACATAATGTTCTTCTATTTATCTCATTTGGTTAGGAGAAAGGGCATCTTTCAGTATAATGTGACGTGGCGGGTAATTTGTAAAATGTGTTGAGGAGAGGACTAACTTATACTAGTAATGGGGCAATAAGTGAAAATTCCGAATGATTTATGCTCACAGTGATGAAAATCTATGAAACAGGCTGGGCGTGTTGGCGCACACCTGTAATCCCAGCACTCGGGAGGCTGAGGCAGGAGGATCGTTGTGAGTTCGAGACCAGCCTGGGCTACAAAGTGAGCTGAAGGCCAGGCTGAACTGCATAGTTTTTTGTCTTTTTGTCTCAAAAAGACAAAAAAGAAAAAGAAAAGAAAATCTATGAAATACATTGTAGGCACTGACCATGCATGCCCTTCTTGCATTGCATAGTGGTGTATGACCGTTAAAATGATCTTAATCAGTGGGAATGAAAACAAAGATTTGTGACTTTTAAACATTTTTGTCAAAGATCGGTCATTTTAGTTTTCAAGTGTATAATAAAATAAAAAGTAAAGTAGTATTTACTCAATACACGATAGCTCAAAACAGTAGAAACATTGAGAGTGAAAGTGCTTGTTTTGCAGTAACGCCTACCAAGTGCAGCTTGAGTAGTGCTTGCCTTCCTTTCAGGGTACAGCTTACGACAGGCCGGAGGCATCTTTTAGTGCCACGGGGAATCGAATTGTCGTGTTCTTCTGTAAGGTGGGCTCAGCTTCCAACACTTTATCCTTGGTACTTTCGGTGTCATGAAATAATGCTGAGCGTTGCTGTCAGGTGAAGTCTGTGCCGCTGGCACGTCCTGTGGGACACTGCCCTTCCTCTCGCAGTCAGTCTTTATTGACCGTCACTGTTTCTGTGGGTGTGTGACCGCGTCTCCTCACAGGCAAGCCGTCAGTATCCGCAGCCCGCGGTACAACTCCTGCTCAGTGTGAAGCTGCTTGACGCGACTTACCTTGGCTTGTGTTCGCCAGTGCTTTGCTGCCTAGTTTGTCCCTTTGTCTCACACGGGCCAGGGTGTCTGCTGTCTTCGCTCCTTTCTCACTGATTTTCAGATCTGCTGCAAACATACATCTCAGGCCCAGCATGAGCACGGTTTGTGTCTTCACCACACTTTCTTCTCCGTAGGCTAATGCCCTCTGTCAGTGGCGGCCACTCGGGCTGCTCGTCCTGGTTTGAAGTGAGCAGCAAACGAGCAGTGCCCCGTCCCCAGCAGTCTGAGAGAAGGGCCTCGATCGGTCACTGGTCAGGACACGCATCTCTTGCTCACGTTGTGATATGTGGCCCACAGAGCCGGCAACTCTGATATAATGCAGTTAATACAGTGTCAGGCTGAAATTTGAACTGTGTTGTGAGAAAACTCGCGTTACTCCGTGAAACTGTGATTCTGAAATTTGCACGTGTTTAAACTGTGCCCAGTGAGGGCTGCTGGTATAGTATAGGTTACGTAGTTTTAAGTTCTGTAAGTTTTGATCAATAATTATATGCTATTTAGAAAGTAAAGCTGTGTGATACTATGGCAAGGGCTCTTTCTGCAGTAGCAGTATTTTCTTCCAGTGATAAAACATAATACCTAATACCTGTTTTAAATTTTGTGCTATGTAAATCAGATTAAAAATGCATATTTCTAATTCTTTTCCTGCAGTATATTTGCACTTAAAATAATGGTTGGGTTAGAAGGGAGTGCTTGGCAATTGTTTGGCTTCTACAAAAACAAGACTTTATTTTTGGTACTGTATTTGCCAAGCAGTCATCTTACAGTTTGTAGGTTTTGAAACTTCCTTTTCTTGCACATTTACAAGATTCAAATAACTTTATAAGACGTCACAGTATTAATTCTTAAAATTTCCATGCTACTCACAGTGATCTGTGATTTGTTTTAATCCCTGCCAAAATTCCAGTGGTCTTTTTCTTTTTTTTACAGAAATAGAAAATGCAATCCTAAAATTCATGTGGAACTACAAATCACCCCTAAATAGCCAAACCAATCCCTATCAAAAAGAACAAAGCTGGGGGCATCACACTACCTGATCGCAAAGCTAGAGTAATCAAAGCACAGTGCTGGCTCAGATAGAGACGCATAGATCAGTGCAGCAGACCGGAGAGCCCTGAGTAAACCCACACTCGAGATCAACCAGCACCTGGATGAAGGTGCTAAGACTACATGTGCGGAAAAGGACGATGATATTAGGGAGATCAGATACCCACATGTGCAGGAATACAGATTATAGAAACAATGAAAATACCCCACATCATACAAATACCAACCCCAAATGCTTAAATGTAGATCTTAAATGTAGAGGAAAACTTATAGAGAACATTCTTGACATGGGTCTGGGCCAAAAACACAGGCAATAAAAGTAAGAATAGACAAAAGGAACTGCATTAAAGTAAAACACTTATACACAGCATAGGAAGCGATCAACAGAGCGAAAAGACAACGTACAGAGTGGGAGAAAGTATTTGTGAATTATACATCTCATAGGGAACTAATGTGCAAAAAATATAAGGAGCTCGATTCCGTAGCAAGAAAATAACCTGATTTTTAAAATGGGTAAAGGGCATGAATAGGTATTTCCCAAAGAAGACATATAAGTGATAAACACACACTAATGACTAGGGGAAAGCAAATTAAAACCACAAAGCTAATGATATATTTAAAAATGCTCAACCACATTAGCATTAGGGAAATTCCAATTCAAATCTCAGTGGGGTATTAGGACGGCTTCGACCGTGAAAGCGAAAGGCAAGTGTTTCCTCCACATAAGGACGTGAAACCTTCCTCCACATAAGGAAAGGGAGCCTTCGTGCATTGGTGAGGATGTAAATTGGGCCGGCCCTTAGTAGAAACACTGTAGAGGTTTCTCACAAAGTTAAAACTGAAACTGCCATGTACTGTAGCAGCCCCACTCTTGCTGGGCATCCAGCAGAAACAAATCAGCTTGTCAGAGACACGGACTGTAGCGTTATCCACAGCAGCAAGGGTAAACATCCACCAGCAAGTGAATGAATGGGAAAATGCAGTCCATGCTGCAAAAGGACAGCCTGGTGTTGTGACAGCAGAGTGGACCCTGAGGTGGTTTCTGCTAAGTGAAATAAGTCAGGCATGGGAGGTGGATATTCATGGGCTCACTCATGAAAGTCACAGTCCAGGAACCAGACTGCATGGTGGCTACCAGGGCCTGGGGACCAGGGTGTGTGTGTGTGTGTGGGTGTGTGTGTGTGTATCGAGTTTGGCCAGAGGGTGCAAAATTTTGGGTAGACTTGCTAAGTTCTGGAGATCTGTTGTACAAAGTTAGCAACTATAGTGGATAACATATTATAGACCACATAAGTAGATTTTCACACACTCTCACTGCAAAAAGTAAGTGTGTGACATGTTGACTATGCTAATTAGATTAATTTAGCCATTTTATAATGTAAGCGTTTCAAGACATTGTATTACCAAAAATACATGTTATTTTTGTCAGTTAAAAATCTTTAAGCATCAGTTTCCCAAGCTATTGTATTTAGTTTAGGAGGGATTTCTAACTACATTTGATTTAGTTCGTTTTATCAAAATCAAATTTATATCCGTGTGAATGTCACCCTTTTATAAGCAGTTCCTCACTTGGTGTCATTGTCGTCCTCTTGCCAGTGGATGGCACTGGTGATCTGTCTGTACCGGAGACATCTCACGTCCTTGTTCTTTGCAAGGTGAGGAGCAGAAGAATGACAAAATGTTGGACGCTCTGAGAAAGGGTAGTTTCCTATCTGAACAACTAATGTGAAGACAGCAGCATGCAATAACAACCATTGGTGAATCCCTACCATCTTTTCCAGTGAAGCTCTTTATCGTTTCTAGTGTTATTTTTTTATTTTTTATTCTCTAACTGTTTGATCAATCTTGCATTCTTACATTTGGTAATTGGAGCAACTTCGTGGAAGATAACACTGTGTAATATAACAACCATTGTTAATCCCTATCATCTTCTTTTAAAACCCTGTATCATTTTTATCATTTTTGTGTTTTTTGTCTTTGTTGTTATTTTGTTATTTTTTTCTCTTTAAAATAAAAAGAGTAATAATGGCTAACATTTATTATATTAGGAACTATGTGAAGTGCTTTACATTTATGAACTCGTTGAATCCTCAGTAATTCTGTAGAGTTGGAGCTATTATTATGTATGTTTTCCTGATGCAGTATTACAGACAATTGGTGGCTGTCTTTCCCCAAGGCCCCTGAACTTCTAAATAAGTGAGCTGGAATTTGAATCCAGGTTGAGCAATTCCCAGGCCAATGCCCCAAATCATCGTTAGCATCCTCCTTAGTAGGTCAGTATTGGCTGGGCAGAGTGTGAATGCTGGAAAGGTGCGTTTGCCTTGCAGTAGCCTAACAGGCCATGTATTATAGCATAAATTCTGAGGCAGGCTCTGGAATCACCTGGCCTGGGTTTGGGTCTTGGTGCTCTCACTTACTCACAGGTGATACTGGTCAATTTACTTAACCTCTCTGAGTCTTAGCACCCCTACCGATAAAATGAAAAACATCATTCTTAACACAGAAGGATTTTTGTGGATTAAATCATAAATATAAAGGAGTACCTGCCACATAGTCGTAAATCTAGACTTCAAGTTATTTCATGATTGGAAATCTAATACTATTTTTAAAAGTTGGAGCAGTGTCTGAAGTAAAAGAAATTCCAAACTGGAATCACAATTCTAATATCAGAAGATAGGTGCGCATAAGGATTAAACAGAGTGTGTGAGTAGCTTCCACTTTGCGGGGGTAACAGGAAAAGGGGAGAATCATGCCTTGAAGGATGCGGGCTCTGGCACAGGTGAAGCTCTGCTTATGTGGAGAGCGTGCAGCACTGGTGAAGACAAAGTGCTGGGATCTGCCCGTGCCTCCCGGGCACACTGCTCTCCTGCCCCCTGGTCCTCACGCTGTGGTGGAACAGGAGGACCCTGGGTAGATGTGTCCACATCCTGTACTGACTGTGTGCGT